GTAGGGGACAGAAGCCAGACTGTAGTGGATCGAGGAGGTTGTTGTCAGTGAGGTCGGTGCATGGGCGATTGTAGACTAAGTGCTCAAGGAGCTTGGAAGTGAATGGCAGCAAGGAGATGGTCTAAGGTTGTTCAGGTCGGTGGGGTCCAGGGAGGTTTTTTTTTGAGTATGGGGGTGATGTGCGCGTGCTTTAGGGGGTAGGGGAATGCGCCAGTAGAGAGGGAGAGATTGAAGATGTGGGTGTGGGAGCGTAGGATGGAGGAGGAGGGTGACCGGAGTAACCTCCTCAGTGGTAGCGAGGCTGAAGGAGCGGAGTGTTGTGGAGGTTATAGTGTGCGGGACGTTAGGTGTGGTGGTGGGGGGGTAGGGTGGTTGTGAGGTCAGAGGAGGGAGAGTTATTGGGTTATAGTGGGAGGGAGGCTAGGTGGAGAGGTAGGTTGAGCATTGGCGATGTCCTTACATCGATCTTATTTTGGAAGTGATTGGCAATCTCGTGGGCGGTGAGTGAGGTACTGGGTGGAGGGGGGGGGGGAGAGAATAGGGAGTTGAAAGTGAAGAAGAGCCGGCGAGGACAGGTGGAGAGGGTGTTGATGAGGGTTACGAAGTAGGCTTGTTTGGCGGTGTGGAGTGAGGAGGAGTAGGTGAGGAAGGCGGATTTGTAGAGGGAGAACGCTCGAGGGGATCTGGTTTAAGATGTTTACTGTAGTCAATCTGCCAGGGTTGAAGCGGTCGGGGTCTAATGCTACGTGTGGTTAGGGTTGCTAAGGAGCCTAAGGCAGCTCACAGGGAGTCGTTATATGCATCCATGCGGTGATATCATCCCTGCGAACCTCCCTGCGCCCCTCTGTTACTCCCTGAGCCCTGGACACCACCAGAGCGGCAGGAAAACACCCAGAGCGTCAACTCCTTACTTGGCACCATGCACAGGCAGCCTAAATCTTCAATAAGACATAGAAGTTGAATCCAAAGCAATTTTACTTCAGTTAAAATGGTATTAAACCCAAAAGCAAACATATTTTATATTGCATGCTTACCAAATCTTAGATGTGATGGCTGTATTACTTTTTCCTTTTTAGGATTTCTTTCTTCTATGTATTCCTGTTGATCCAGCCTGTAAGTCTGTTGTTTTTCAAAAGAAAATGTCCCCCAGCAGAATGTATCAGTTACAAAGATGAGACAAAACATTTACCAATTTTCAGCTTGTTTATGTGAAATGTTTATCCCATTAGAGTGCCTCCATCCAGAATGGGGCACTCTAATGTAGGAAGTGTGTTACTGACCAGATCACCTGGTGATAGCAGCTGGAGAAAATCCTAACCCCAGAAAACAAATGCAGCCACCACATCTAATGATTGGTAAGCTGCAATATATGGCATTTTTAGTTTTGGGTTCAATACTGCTTTAATTGCAGTAGAGGGAATGTGTTTTCAGTCTTTTGAAGTGTAAGAAGACAATGACTTTCCTAAGCCTCGTGGCTGAGAAGAACTGACTGAGGCAACATGAAAGAAATGTGGAGGGTCTAGCTAGGGCTAAACTAACTAGTATTAAACAAGAGGGGAGGCCAGAGGAAAAATACCAAAGTCACACAATAAACAAGTTGTAGTGGCCCAAAAACTCCACTAGATGTGAGCATACTACAGAAAAAAATTATAACCTCATGCGATACAATAAATAATATAAAAAATTTGCATGAAAGTGGGGCAAAGGTCATGCTCTCTGCTAACTGGAGAACTCTGGTTCCACGGGTGTAACTGACCTCTGTAGAGACACCACTGCTTCCACACAGAGAGCATGGATCCCTTTGTACGGTGTGCTAGCAGGGGGCAGGTTTTTCTACATAGGCTGTCACCGAGTAATACATCTCTTTGAACACCAACAGAATAAGAGGTATATATCCATTAAAACAAGCCATTTCTTACCACAGCCTCCCTAAATTGTGCTGCCCCTATGCCACTGCCTGTGTTTGCCATTAACAACCAGTCACATCTATCTTCTTTTCTAACCAGCACTAGGAATCTGCCATCTAGAATCTGGTCACCTAGGGATAGAATCAGATTTTGCAGTTTGATTACTCTAGATTTTATTTCAAATGTCCATAATGGCCTCCATAATCCTTAACGGTACCCATAATGCCTTGCTGCTTCTTTTTTCACCTCTTTGCTAGAAAGCCATCTGTATTTAATGATTAAAAGGGAGCGCTGTTGTTCATGTCATTGTTGTCATGGTGATGGCATAGTACGCCTCTTGCTGGTTAGTGAAGGGGATTTTTTTTATTATAGCAATATTTGCAGCTGGGTTTTTAGTAATTTCCTATAATTATGGGCCCTGCATTGCATATTTATATCTACATAAGTGTAGTCATCCTGTATGTGCAGAGCTGAGTTCAATGTACACATGAAATATGCATGTGCTTGTCATCTACTTCATTGGAGGGAGATGTCGCATGAACATTGCTCTTGCATGTACAATTATGCTTTTGAAGGGAACATTCAATGAGAAGAGTGCAAAGGCTGCCCACTAAAAATGCCAGTTTTCTGGCTGTCACCAGCTTAGTACTTACTAAAACACTGACTTGGAACAAGCATGTAGCAAGTATTAGTATTTTAATCCAGGTTGTATGTTTGTGCCTATGTCTCTAGCCTTACCCCAAACTCTTCAGAGATACACTATATTGCCAAAAGTATTGGGCCAGCCCTCCAAATCATGTGATTCAGGTGTTCCAATCACCTCCATGGCCACAGGTGTATAAAATCATCACCTAGGCATGCAGACTGCTTCTACAAACATTGGTGAAAGAATGGGTCGCTCTCAGGAGCTCAGTGACTCCAAGCATGGTCCCGTCATAGGTTGTCACCTGTGCAATAAGTCCATCCGTGACATTTCCTGGCTACTAAATATTCTACGGTCAGCTAGTAGTGGTGTTATAACAAAGTGGGAGCAACAGCAACTCAGCCACCAAGTGATAGGCCACGTAAAATGACAGAGCGGGGTCAGTGCATGTGTACAGTACCCAGAAGTCTCCAACTGTCTGTAGAGTCAATGGCAAAAGACCTCCAAACTTGGTGTGGCCTTCAGATTAGCACAACAGTGCTCAGAGACCTTCATGGAATGGGTTTCCAGGGGCCGAGCAGCTGCATCCAAGCCTTACATCACCAAGTGCAATGCAAAGCGTTATATGCAGTGGTGTAAAGCACGCCACCACTGGACTCTAGAGCAGTGGAGATGTGTTCTCTGGTGTGACCGATCACGCTTCTCTGTCTGGCAATCCGAGGGGCGTGTCTGGGTTTGGCGGTTGCCAGGAAAACAATACTTGCCTGACTGCATAGTGCCAAGTGTAAAGTTTGGTGGAGGGGGGATTATGGTGTGGGGTTGGCTTGGCCCCCTAGTTCCAGTGAAGGGAACTCTTAAGGTGTCAGCATACCAAGACATTTTGGACAATTTCATACTCCCATCTTTGTGGGAAACAGTTTGGGGATGGCTCCTTCCTGTTCCAACATGACTGTGCACCAGTGCACAAAGCAAGGTCCATAAAGACATGGATGAACGAGTTTGAGGTGGAGGAACTTGACTGGCCTGCACAGAGTCCTGACCTCAACCCAACTGAACACCTATGAGATGAATTAGAGCAGAGACTGTGAGCCAAGCCTTTTCGTCCGACATCAGTGCCTGACCTCACAAATGCGCTTCTGGAAGAATGGTCAAACATTCCCAAAGATACCCTTCTAAACCTTGTAGACAGCCTTCCCAGAAGAGTTGAAGCTGTTATAGCTGCAAGGGGTGGGCCAACTCAATATTGAACCCTACGGACTAAGACTGGGATTCCATTAAAGTTCATGTGCGTGTAAAGGCAGGGGGCCCAATACATGTGCATGTAAAGGGAGGCGTCCCAATACTTATGACAATATAGTATATATAGACACATAATATATACTGTACGTGTGTGTGTGTGTGTGTGTATATATATATATATATATATATATATATATATATATATATATATTTCCCCTCCACATTGCCATTCTACAAGTGTAGACCTGGCTCAAAAAGATCTGCTGCTTTATGGGGAATATTGGAATATTTAGAAAGATTCATTTTTCCTAAGCAAAACCCTGAATATTGTACCTCTTTCCTCCTAAAATATACCAAGACACTTCCTGAGCCTCCTAGCTGTATAGCTGCAGTGTGAGATCTAAGGCACTGTTGACACTGACTGTTAACCTCAGATTTGGAGTTGGATTTGGTGATGTCACATTGTACAATTCATGGTTCTCCTTGCTGGAGAGGAAGCTGTACCTGAATACCTGCAGTGCAAGGATCTCTCTGCTTCATTCTGTGATTCTTGGCTTTCTGCACCTCTACTGCTGCTTCTTGATCATCACCCCACAGCCATCAGGGGAGCAACTGTGACATCAAAAAGTATCAAAACCCTACCTCTATTCTAAGATGGGTGTCTCCACACAGAGACATAGCAAAGCATGGTAGGCCAGTAATTCTGAAAAGTTCAGCTGCAGGGAGACTACTGGGAATACTGGTAACAAATCATTTGCACTCTACTTGTCTTTTTTCAGCATAGTTTCCATGGTACAGGTCCTCTTTAGGAGAGCACATGCATAGACATAATATTTTCGTGTGTCCATACCTCAACAAGTAAGGTTTGCACATTACTGGAAACTATGGGCAACTCATTGTCTTGCAGACATAATGAAACTGCATTGCTTCATACCAATGCGACTTGTAATGCAACTTGCCACTTTGAAGTCCCATGACAAGTCACGTCCAATGTATGTCTATAGCCCCGTTCTAATAGCTGCAACTCAAGTTGCATCGACTTTAAAAAAAAAGGCTCCTGCACTACTTTTGTGCAACTTGCATTGAGCTGTAAGCCTGAAGTTGCCTGAAGTGGCAGAAAGTCGCACAAAATCGTCGGATGGTAAATTTGCACCATTTTAAAGTTGCATTGGTGAAGACAGGGGCTAAGGGAATAAGCTGATAGGTCTCACCTTAGCTTGTAGTCAGCATATCCTTTCTGATTGGCTCTCAGTTTTGATAATATCATCTTCAGGATCCTTATAAAGATCAGAAAGTTGAACTGAGAAGGAAACACATGGCAATGGTAAAAATGCACTGTTGAAGCACATTGTCCATTTCACTGTACAGTCACCACTGTAAAAGAGTCAGGTGCCTCCATTATGTATGATGATTAAACATTGTACATGTCACTCCAGTCAAGATTAGACTCCACACTCCATAGTCATCTTAGGTGTTGGGTCCACTCATCTTAATCAAAACAGTCATGCCAGATACATGAACAATGCACACCGACATGTAAAATTATCCTATTCCTTTATTAAAATAGCTCTCAAGAGCAAGTTCAGCCCAACGCGTTTCGTACAAGGCACAGTGCTTTCTCAAAGGACAACTACCCACATGTCATTAAAAAAGAACCATTATTTAACCCCTTTGCGCCAGTGCCTCCCAGCCCTTTAAGAGGTTTCAGAAGCGAGGTGGGGTTTTAGGGTCATATGACCGCCATGATGCGCCGCCACGGCTGTCATAAGATAGGAAAAGGTCCCGATCGCAAGGGGAGATCGTGACCTTTCCGTGAGCACATAGGTATTTTCAAATGGCAAGCAAATATGCGGCCACTTGGCGTCAAGGACCACTTGCCAGGAGGCAGCATATTTGTGTGTGCTCGGTGTCTGGGGGTTAATCTAACACTGTTCAAAAGGTTTAAAATATATATATATATCTATTGAGTCGTATCTGATCCTTGGCGATTGCACAGTCACTCGTAAGCGACTTTTTTTTTTCCATGAGTTCTCTTAGCAATTATTTTACAGGGTAGGGTGCCAGGTCTTTCCCCAACCCCCACCATGCAGGAGATCCTGCATGGCCAGGGATGAAACTAGGACAATTTAGACAGGAGCTAATTAACCTACCAGCATGGCTTGGGTGTGGAGGCACCATGGTTGGGAATCGAACCCATGGCCCAATTACTGCAAGGCAGAAGTGCTAACCACTAAGCCACTGTGCCGCATATATACAGTATATAGTTACAGAGATTAGACAAACCATTTACCACTGAGAGGGGTGCTTACGATTATCAGCTTTTATTTATTCATGTAAAATCTTTAACCCAAAAGAAATAAACAGTTTGCTGTAACTGGTTATAACCGTGATCTGGAGTTTGGCTTCAATGTGTAAGTGTATTTAAATCTGCTAGTACATCTAACACTCTCCCCTCTCCCTCCCAGACTGACAATGCTGGTCTCTGCTGTGCCCCCTGTGCTCCTTCATCCATAGAGTAGGCACTCTATTACATGAGGTGTGTTATCGGTCAGATCACCAGGTGAAAACAGAGGAGAAAAGCCTAAAAAAAGAAAACGAATGCATCCACCACATCTAAGGATTGATATGCTGCAATATATTATATTTTTGGTTTTAGGTTTAACTGCTTCCTGCTTGGCCTATAGCAGAATGATGGCTGAGTAACAGCTTTCCCATCCTGGGTGCATGTCATAAAACATCTTCCCAGGCATGTGCTTCCTTTGTGCTCTAGCGGCTCTGCTGCACCTTGATCTGTCACCCGCTGTGTCCAACAGACACAGTGGATGACACATCATTGTACTGGGCCAGCCAGTACAATCGCAGCAAACACAAGACAGTTGTACACAGGGGCGGACGGACAACTCATGGGGACCCCGGGCAATAGGGGATCATGGGGCCCCTGTGTCCTTGCCCAAACTCAAAAAAGCCTATGAAAAAGGTACCAGGGGCATCTCATGGGGCCCCCTAATGACCCTGGGTCCTCGGGCAGTGCCCGAGTTTCCAAATGGTCAGTCCGCCCCTGGTTGTACACAAATGAACTGCTTTCATTCTTAGCCATTCACTGTGTACTATTGTGATGATCTCTGTGATTGGTCATAGTGATCACATGGTACATACAGGGTCAATCACAGCGCATCTGTACAATGTGATAGCTGTGACAAATCACAGCTGTCACAATAGTACACCCTATGAATGAATGGATGCCATTCATAAAAATGATTGCTTATAACAGTGATCATCACGTTTATAAGCAATTATAGTGTACAAACAAAATCCTGATCACCTCAGAGTAGTACAGTGTCACTATGGTAACACTGCACTGCTCTGGTCACAGTTTGTAAAACAAATTGTAAAAAAAAAAATGTTTAAAAAAGTGATAGAAATAATTTTTTGTTTCCTTCTGTCACCAGTCAGTATCCCTGATCACCACCACACGAGTCAAACCGCGATCGTGCTACGAGCTGAGGTGCATAGGGGTGCCATTCAGAGACGTCCCCACGTATGTCGCAAGAGCAGCAGGCTGCGGCTGTGTGTGGTTGCGGGTGTGCGAACGGGTGTGATTCCTGCACCCGCAATTGGCCTGCAGCCAGAGGGCTAGGGTGAACCCAGCATTAAATTGTGAAATCTGAACATTGGCCTGGGCAGGAAGAGGGTAAAAGTGTCCAGTATGGAGGAGGTTAATACCACATTAATTACAACCTGCTACAATAGGTATTATTGTACAGAATGTTTCATCTCAAGTGTTCTTATGGTCATGGTTCCTTTTATCTCTTTGATTTTTCTCTATCTTCAATAACCTCTCTATACTTATTAATAGCAAAGTTTAAAGCTCTATTCATAATATGTATTGTCTTTATGACCTCTGTCTTTAAATTGATGCCATAGTTTATCTGCAGAGGTTTTAAGAGGCTGCAAATCAACAACGGCATTGTTTTATATAAAGAGATTATATGGAAGATATTTTAAACGACCTTTCCTCATCACTATTAATAAGAGTTGACAGGAACTGATGATAGAGAAGAATCAAAGAGATAAAGAACACTGACCAGCCAATACAGTAGGGAAAATTATTATTTGATCTGCTGAAGATTTTATAAGTTTGCCCAATTACAAAGAAATGAAGGGTCTATAATTTTTATCATAAGGTGTATTTTAAAGGATAGAGGCAGAATATCAACCAAAAATCCAGAAAAAACACGATACAAATGTTATAAATGGAGTTGCAGTTCAGTGAGTAAAATAAGTATTTGATCCCCTACCAACCAACAATAATTCTGGCTCCCACAGACTGGCTATGTGCACATGTGGTACACAGATTAGTCCTGTCAATTTAAGAAGGTGCTCCAAACAGCAATTTGTTATGTGTATAAAAGGCACCTGTCCACAGAATCTCTTTCTTGGGCACCACCATGGGCAAGACCAAAGAGCTGTCAAAGGACGTCAGGGCCAAGATTGTAGACCTGCACAAGGCTGGAATGGGCTACAAGCTTGGTGAGAAGGAAACAACTGTTGGGAGTGAATATTCACAAATGGAAGAAATAAAAAATAATCATCAATTGCCCTCAGTTTGGAGCTCAATTCAAGGTTTCACTTCATGGGCTAAGGTGAAGATCATGAGAAAAGTGAGGGATTAGCCCAGAATTACACGGGAGGAGTTTGGTGACTGTGGTCCCAACTGCCTTGAGATCATTCACAAACAAACCATTGGTAATAAAATACGCCGCAATGGATTGAAATCCTGCAGCGCCTGCAAGGTCCCTCTCCTTAAGAAGGCACATGTACAGGCCCATCTGAAGTTTGCCAATGAACATCTAAATGATTCAGAGAAGGATTGGGAGAAAGTGCTGGGGTCAGATGAGACCAAAATTGAGCTTTTTGGCCTTAACTCGACTCAATGTGTTTGGAGGAAGAAAAACACTGACTATGACCCTAAGAACACAATCTCTACAGTCAAGCATAGAGGTGGAAACATTATGCTTTGGGGCTGTTTCTCTGTTAAAGGTACAGGCCGAATTTGCTGCATTGAGGGGCCAATGGATGGGGCCATGTCTGGCAAAATCTTGGATGAGAACTTTCCCTCAGCCAGAACACTGAAGATGGGTCATGGATGGGTCTTCCAGCATGACAATGACCCAAAACATACCACCAAGGCAACAAAGGAGTGGCTCAGTAAGAAGCACATTAAGGTCATGGAGTGGCCTAGACAGTCTCCAGACCTTAATCCTATAGAAACTTTAAGCATTTAGAGAAGATCTGTAAAGAAGATTGGACCAAAATCCCTCCTGAGATGTGTGCAAACCTGAGAACCAACTACAAGAAACATCTTACCTGCTCGTCAACAAGAGTTTCTCCACCAAGTACTAAGTAATGTTTTGCTTGAGGATCAAATATTTATTTTACTCACTGAACTGCAACTCAATTTATAACATTTGTATCGTGCTTTTTCTGGATTTTTAGTTGATATTCTGTCTCCATCATTTAAAATACATCTATGATAAAAAATTATAGACCCTTCATTTCTTTGCAAGTGGGCAAATTTACAAATTCTGCAGGGGATCAAATAACTATTTTCTCTACTGTATGTATCACTGAACATACCGAGAATATAAAAAGAATCATACAAGGTACTTTGTTTTTTGATTCTGTTTATTCTGAAATTATGTAAATTGGTGAGAACATTGTAGAAAAAAGAGCCCCCATTAGGTATGTACTTATCCCCTAGTAAGGCTTTTAATAAGAAACAGTACCTGGCTAACCCTAGGTTCACACCTAAGCGTTTTCTGCAGAGTTTTGCAGAAACGCAGTACAGTCCATCTAACATAATTTCCTATGGGACATCTCTTCAGGGAAGCCTACCCCACCCTCACCTAACGGCCATTCTCCCTCATTCCTCCCACCACTTCATCCCCCTCAGCCACTTCATTCCCCTCAGCCACTTCCTATTGTTCCACTACCCCCTCCCTCCTAGATTGTAAGCTTGAAAGAGTAGGGCCCTCTTACCCCTCGTACGCTGTCTGTCTTTGTTGTACTGTGCCATGTATTGTCCCCCCTATTGTACAGCGCTGAGCAAACCCTTTGGCGCTATATAAACTCGATGTAATAATAATAATAATAATAATGTTCACACCTGTGTGTTTTTACCGTGCGCTTTTTGGAGTCAGGGACTTTTTTGAACACGAAAAGTTGCATTTTTGGTTCTATAGATTTCAATGGAAACACTGCAGAAAAACATGTATTGCGTTTTTGCGGTGTTTTTTTTGCGTTTTAAATCTGCCTAGGAACAAGAAAACCAAACGCATCAAAACGCTGCAAAAATTCGTAAAAATCGCAAAAATGGCCATGCTGACTGCTTCTACAAACATTTGAGCAAGAATGGGTCACTCTCAGGAGCTCAATGACTCCAAGCGTGGTCCCGTGATAGGTTGTCACCTGTGCAATAAGTCCATCCGTGACATTTCCTTGTTACTAAATATTCCACGGTCAACTGTTAGTGGTATTATAACAAAGTGGAAGCAACTGGGAACAACAGCAACCCAGCCAGGAAGTGGTAGGCCACGTAATATGACAGAGCGGGGTCATTGCATGCTGAAGCGCACAGTGCGCAGAAGTCGCCATCTGTCTGCAGAGTCAATAGCTAAAGACCTCCAAACTTGGTGTGGCTTTCAGATTATCACAACAACAGTGCATAGAGAGCTTCATGGAATGGGTTTCCATGGCCGAGCAGCTGCATACAAGTCTGACATCACCAAGTGCAATGCAAAGTTTCGGATGCAGTGGTGTAAAGCACGCTGCCACTGGACTCTAGAGCAGTGAAGATGTTTTCTCTGGAGTGGCCAATCACGCTTCTCTGTCTGGCATTCCGATGGACATGTCTGGGTTTGGCCATTGCTGGGAGAATGATACTTGTCTGACTGCATTGTGCCAAGTGTAAAGTTTGGTGGAGGGAGGATTATGGTGTGGGGTTGTTTTCCAAGGGATGGGCTTGGCCCCTTAGTTCCAGTGAAGGGAACTCTTGAGGCATCAGCACACCAAGACCTCAACCTGATAGAGCACCTTTGGGATGAATTAGAGCGGAGATTGTGAGCCAGGCCTTCTCGTCCGACATCAGTGCCTGACCTCACAAATGCGCTTCTGGAAGAATGGTGAAACCTTCCCATAGACAATCCTAAACCTTGTGGACAGCCTTCCCAGAAGAGTTGAAGCTGTTATAGCTGCAAAGGGTGTCCAGCTCAATATTGAACCCTACGGACTAAGACTAGGATGCCATTAAAGTGCATGTGTGTGTAAAGGCCGGCGTCCGAATACTTTTGGCAATATAGTGTATGTTACATATTTGCCTTTAGTAGTAATTTGCATAGATAGATATTGTAATCAATCAGTACTGAACTAGATGGCATGCAGTGAAAACTGAGTAATTGCATTTGTTATGTGTGTCTTTTTTATTGCTACATTTTACTTTTATCTATTACAGGTACTTATAGAGCACTGTCAATTTACACAGCACTTTACATATTATACATTCACATCAGTCCCTAACAGGGGCGGACTGACCAATTGGGCACTCAGGCACTGCCCTAGGGCCTGGGGTCAGTTGGGGGCCCCATGAGATGCCCCTAGTACCTTTCACATGCTTTTTTGGGTGTGGTTTGAGTGAGGGTGAGGACACAGGGGCCCCATGATCCCCTATTGCCTGGGAGCCCCATCAGTTGTCAGTCCGCCCCTGGTCCCTAACCCTCAGAGGCGTACAATCTAAGGTCCCTAACTCACATTCATACATACACATACTAGAGCCAATTTAGACAGGAGCCATTTAACATACCAGAATGTTTTTGGAGTGTGGGAGGAAACCCATGCAGGCACAGGGAGAACATGCAAACACCAGGCAGATAGTTCCATGGTTGGAATTAGAAACCAATGACCCTAGTACTGCCAGGCAGAAGTGCTAACTATTTAGCCACTGTGCTGCCCATCTATTTGATTCTCTGTTACATAGCATGATATACATTCTCATGCAAATGTGCAGATGTTACAATAATTGGTATAAATGTTTTAAATAATATATATATATATATATATGTGTGTGTGTGTGTGTGTAAAGCCCTGTGTAAATTGTGAACAATATATAAGTGCCTGTAATAAATATACATACACATAAAACATAGAGTGTAATGGACTTGCATACATTTGAACAGTCAAAGGGTTAATGATCATGTAAGATGAATTAATGCTCCTATATAATATTTTGTCATTCTTTTAGAAAGCACTGTGCCTAGCACAAAATGCGCCAGCAACTTTATCTTGCTGGCTATTAAAATAAAGGAAGAATATAATTTTGCGTCTCAGTTCACGGTGTTCTTATTGCTGGTAGAATTGATGTATGCAAACTAGTTATAGGCTTATCCAAGCGACAAAAATAATGGAAATAATACAAATGCAGTATTCTAAAATGAGTTTTTAATTGGTAGACCATAAATGCAACAAAGAACAGATCAGTTTGTCCAAATATGACTGACTTTCTACCAAGACCCATCATTTATTTTGAAAGAGAATTATAATTCATTGCCTGACTCCCCCATTTCGCACTATTGATTTTTTGACAAATACAATTTTCTTCCAGCAGAACAAACCAATATAGAAAATTGACATTAAATAAAAAAGGGTGCATCAGCTGGTACCCTACTGACATGTGTATGTCATTGGGTATATGTGGATAATTGATTGTTTTTTGACCTTGCCACATTGTCACTGTTATATTATTGGTGATTGGTATGCTACCAGTGTATGTACCTTGTTCAGAAATAAAGAGTATAAAAATAAAAGAGTGCACCAAGTGATTAAGTTAGAATTGTTGTATCTCATAGCAGCCAATCGGGTTCCAAAGATTCATTTGGATCGGGTGCTAGGGGTTTTTGCATTTTGTACTTTCCTCTTTGTCTAATTTAAAAAATATGTAAACCCAACATTTCACATTCCTGATATGTGACTGCTGTACCATGTACTTGTACTGTATGAAAATGTCTCCTATTCCTTTTGTATTTCTTCCTTTGTGTGAAGTCTCTGATGTTCCTGTCAATCCCTCTGCTTTCCTATTAAGAACTGACTACACTGGACATGAGAGCACAGCATGGACAGTTTTTCTAACTGCTGAGAACTCAGCCTGCTCTCCTCCAATGGTCAGATGCAGGGGCGGACTGACCATTTGGAAACTCGGGCACTGCCCGAGGGCCCGGGGTCAGTAGGGGGCCCCATGAGATGCCCCTGGTACCTTTTTTCATAGACTTTTTTGAGTTTGGGCAAGGACGCAGGGGCCCCATGATCCCCTATTGCCCGGGGGCCCCATGAGTTGTCAGTCAGCCCCTGGTCAGACGTTTGCTGACACCCCCCCTTCAATACAGCCATTCACTGGGAAGATCAATGTGCTGCTACTTTTCCTCCCCCAGCTCTCTAAGCTCTTTATATAGCTGAGAACAGAGAGTATGTGACCACTTATGAAAAAAAAAGGTAAAAAGGGTGTTTATAATGTTTTTTTATATCTATACACAAATGTTTTGCTTTTCATTTCTATTTTAAACTGAATGGGTGAGCAGAACTAAGACAATAAAGATGTCATGATACACATTGTTTGGGTTAACTATTATCAAATAAGAGCAAGAAGAAGTTGCACAAAAAAACTTTCAAATCAAGTTCTTATTCAGTACATTAGATTTGTGGAGTACAATGGTTGAGGAGCATCTCTAGTAAATGTGACTCAACCAACCCGGAGCTTAGGTAGTGTAAGTGTACGTGGCCTCAGCTAATGTGGCTGGAGCAGCGTTGGCTGAGGCCACATACACTTATACTACCTAACCACCAGGTCAGTCGAGTGGGGACTTATCCTCTCTTTCATGTTGGACCCCTACTTTGGAATGGTACATTGGGGGAGCCGCTTGCTCCCTCAACTACATGACCTGTAGAGAAATCTTTCACCTTCCAGATTGGAGCGGCACACTACAAGTCTTGTGCATATCAAATGTGACCAACTCACCACAGAAGCCAGCAGGATGGGGACACGAATTATCCACCAATATGCCAGGTTGTCATTAAAGCCCCAACATCTGGAAAAGAAACATTTCAACCAATTAGATAAACTGGTAGCCTATGATCCATCTTATAATGTGGCTTTTGGTGTGCAGAATAATGGTAGTTAATGGCTTAATAGTGACCTATGCATGTGGGCTAGTTGTGGAATATGGTGAATCATGTAAAAATGGCATATAATCTATGATCCAACAGTTGGCTATAGTTCAATGGTGGCCTGTAGTCTTTGATCTAACAGTGGTCTATGAATTATGGTCTAATAGTGACCTAGGGTCTGATGGTGGCCTGTGGTTTATGGTCTGATGATTACCTGTGGGCTATGGCCTTCTGGTGGCCAACAGTCTATGTTATGCTGATGCACAATTCAGAAAAGAAAAAGGTCCGGCAACAAGGCAGTTTAAAAATCTGTGGAATCTTTATTAAAAACATTCATCAAGGCATAAAAGGGGAAATTCAATACAGAGCAAGGTTGACACGTTTCAACCCCTTCCTGGGCCTTAGTCATGACGGTGACCTATAATCTATGTTCCAAGGGCCATGTCACACCAGGAACTTTATAGAATAGATTTGGGACCAATATACATCTTTATGTTAATTTTACCTGGCTACAATACTTTTTATGCATCAGCAATTGAAATAATTTTTTTTAATGGCAACCAAACTCTAAGAGAAGCCATTCCGTGGCAGCTGCAAATTTCTTCCACTAAACACTCATGTGACATGGCTTTAATGGTATGAACTTGGGTTTGTGGTTTGTCAATGGCCCAATCGTTGACCTAATGGTTGACTATAGACTTGTGGTTCCGCTGCAGAGATGAATAAGTGGAGAACATTAATAGGGTAGTAGATAAAATCTTAGTAAATCTAATAAATAATCTTGGCATTGCTATATTGCATTGGATTGATAATGTATCAAGAATAGTGTTTTATCTTACTCTTTGTTCTCCTTCAGATATTTCAGTGTCATCCACGGAACAACAAAACAACACCGGAGTCCCTGCAGAGGAGATGAAATAATAATAGTTTTTGTAAACTGTATCTAGGTTCAAGAACACAAATGTAATATATTGCAGTTTACTAGTCTTTAGATGTGCTGGCTGAAAACCCAATTGATTTTCTTTATTTAGACTTTTTTCCCTTTATTTTCACTTAGCACACTTCTTCACCTAGGGCAGTGGTTCTCAACCTTCCTAATGCCGCAACCCTTTAATACAGTTCCTCATGTTGTGGTGACCCCCAACCATAAAATTATTTACCCAGTAATTATAATTCATGAGTGTCGTTTTACCTCCAATACTGCTGCTTTCAACACAGTAGCTGCTTTTAACAGAGTAGCTGCTTTCAACACAGCAGCTGCTTTCTACACAGTAGCTGCTCTTTACACATCGGAAATGTGTTTTCTGATGGTCTTAGGGGACCCCTGTGAAAGGGTCGTTCGACCCCCAAAGGGGTCGCGACCCACAGGTTGAGAACCACTGTCCTAGGGTGACAAATCTCATGCACCATACTATATCTGTGCAGGAGCAGGAGCTTAAAACAGAAAGTGTGTAGGACTACCGAACACCTCTCCATAACACGAGGGAGGGGTTCTTTAGTCTCCAGCAGTGAAGTGGGCAGGGTTGATAACAGAACAGCAACTTACATGTTCACTTGATTTTTTCTGGTAGGATCAACAGGTATTTTTTGAAACGTTTTAAACAGATGTAACAGATGTCCTTTTTGTTTTTTTCAACTGGAACTCCGCTTTAATAAACCAAAGGGACCAAATAAGAGAAATGCACTGGAGAGTTTACAGGTCCCCGTAGGCACAGAATGAACACTTCCTGATTGGTTGGCTGTTCTGCAGATACCCCCTTGGCTGACAGAAGGGTTAACTAGATATTTTCAGTCCACTGCCATTATTTTACCCAGGCACAAGCCTGTGGTTGGGGATTTCCTCCTGCTCCCCCCACTTCTGTATGAATGGACATGCATACTCAGCTGCTCAAAGGGTACATTTTTACTCAAAGAGCCTTTCCAAAATAGATCTTTGAGTCCTTATGTAGCAAGGAAATTAATAAATCAATGCAACTCATAGTAATGCTATTACTAGGCTGCTGATAGAAGGCGCTCTACTGATTTGCAGTGTGACTTCAGGAGACTAACAACCAACAATCTCACATTAAACTTAGAATGAGCAAGTGAGCAACATGTGTTTTCTGTTCTCCTCTTGTTAAAAGGTTAGTCCTCACACTTGGTTTATACTATCTTTGTTCAGTTTTTTATTCACTATATCTGTTTAGTATCTTATATGTTAGTAACGGTAACTCTTTAACACAAATTGATGCACTTTTCCATGTGGTCTGCACTGCCACTATAAAGAAAGTAATTATCTGTATAATGTGATCTATTTTGGTTTGTCACATTAAACTCAGAATGAGCAAGTGAGCACGTGTGTTTTCTGTTCTCCTCTTAATACAGATACTGAAGGCTGCATCTTTCTCATACCTCATACTCAGAACACTGATAATTTTGTAACATTTACACTGTGCTTCATATCTGACTGTCCTCCAGAGTCCAGAGACAATAGATAGCTTTATATACAGTACTTCCCAATAATGCAGGGTATGGTTGGGAGACATGTTTACCCAAGTCATTTATAGTCATCAGAAGTATCCACTTACCCCATCCAAGGCACAGGTAAAAGGTATAATTGTTCTTCTCGGAAAATACAGCACCAATCAGCAGTTTATATAGGTAGACTGCCTCCACCACAAACCAATAGTGATTGGCCAGTATACAGTACTGCATTATTACTTGTGCCGCACGACATCCAATAGCAGCCTGTAACATTGAGATTCTATTTTAAGGGTGATGCTTACACACCAGGTTTTAACAGAAAGCCAAATTAAATGTATAAATTGCTTTGTATAAAATACGTTTGTAGCTTTTGAAATCAGAAGCAATCCACCCTACTCACTGATTGTCATTAGCCATATAAGGCCATTGACAAACACTTGAAGCGGCATTAACAACACAATACAGAAAAAGCGATGATTTGTGCAAAGCAAAACAAATGACTTGAGACTACTTGAACCTGCTTCAAGAGGCAACCTAGCGGGAATATAATTATATTTCCAGTTACAATAAAATTTGTTCCATTTTCACCGAAATAATAAATATGATTTTAAGTAGAAAAAAAAGACTCATTATGATTGAATCAAAATGTAGGAGCACCAAAAGTAAATAATCTAAAAGGCATTATTTTTTGTAATTTTGTTCTTTGAGTTGCACAAACATCTTAGATTCCACTGTTAGTGGTCGTAACATGCCTTCTTCAGAGATAATGTGAATAGGAAAACACACACGCACACACACATATATATATATATATATATATATATAGATAGATATATATATATATATATATATTATTTTTTTAGTGATTTTCCATGAGCGAAAATATAACAAAGGCAAGTTATACAACTCGTACAAACAAGAAAATGCAACATACAATTTTTTTTTTTTTTCCATATAATAATGTGTTGCCAGCCAATCCTATATAACATATCTACTGTTTATGTCTTTAAGGTTCAATGACAATTTTAATGATGCATATTTTGTACCTCAGCATTGAGAATTATAACATGCGTCTTCACCAGGCCTTTTTTTCAGTGGGAATGCTGGGGAACGCAGTTCTAGCACCTCTAGCACTGAATGTATGTAATGGCAAGGGGTGCTAAGGTGTGCCAGAGGGTCTGTTGATGCTGGCTGCTGGGGGCTCTATTGTTGCTGGGGAGTGGGGGAATTTCTTGATGAGGGGGGAGGGGTCTATTGTTGCTGGGGAGTGGGGGAATTTCTTGATGAGGGAGGGGTCTGTTGTTGCTGAAGAGCCAAAGGGAAGCCAAGGGGAACAGGACAGAGGGGGCCTAAAGATAATGCTTCAGGGGTGCAGCCCTCCTGGAGCAGCTCTGAGGAAAGGGACTCATCCCCAAAAACGCGTCAGCCTCCTGAACGCACTGACAGTTGGAACATCTTGCCGCTGTTGTGGCCATCTCCATTATGCAAAAGCTTTTTATACATGCTTTGTATGTGAGTATGTTTTTGTCTTTTATATCTTTGAATAAATCTTGGATAATGCACTAGGTGTGTGCGCTACCTGTCTGCTCTTTTAACACCAGCCTGCTGTCGGCTGAATCTGGGTCACAGGAGTGCAAAACTAAGTGCACTCTTTTGACTTACAGGAGAAGTAGGGCCAAAAAAAAGCTTTGGGCCTACTTCTCCTTTCAGAACCCAAAAAGCACTTGCATTTTAGACAGATCTTTGAGCAACTAAAAAGGAACAACTTCAACAATCTTGTCTTCAGATCACTTATATTTGGTGCTTCTATATTTTAATTCACTCAAAGCTGCAAAGGTCCTCCACCAATGAGGACAGACTGTCCTTGAGTGAAAGCTAGATCAGTGTTTCTCAAGCTTTTTTCAGTCAAAGCACCCTTTAAAATGATGGACAGACCTGAGGCACCCTTTAAAATGATGGACAGTCCCGAGGCACGCTTTAAAATGATGGACAGTCTTGAGGCACCCTTTAAAATTATGGACAGTCTTGAGGCACCCCATTCTAAAATGTGAAAAACTATTCTAATAGTTTTTATATATAACACATCTACACATGTAGGACACCCAACGTTAGAGGTAATTCACTCTTCCAAAGCCAATACACTTTTGCACACTGGTACTGACTAGTATTCCAATGTTTCTCTTCTCCCTCACTGAGCTAATGTGACCCCAGCACTGGCAGAGAGGGGCGGGGGAGGGTCAAACTAGGATGGTGTGCAGGCAGCTGACATCCTCCTTATCAACTGATGATGTCATTGGTTGCCAGGACGCCAGTGGCTAAAAGGTCATAATGGTGCTCAATGAATACCTGTGGCTTTGTGTAACTAAAAGGCAGGCTTGTTCCACCCGCTGGCTTGTATACAAGTTTTGGTCATTTTTTAGACATTTTGCCAAGGCACCCCTGAAGAAACCTCAAGGCACCCTGGTTGAGAAAGGCTGTCATAGAGTAATAACACCTTTTTAATGAAAATAAATAAAATGAACTTACAAGCAGTTGAAATCACATAGGCAAATAAATATATACAGGAACACTGGTTTGCGTTCCAATAACCAGACATTCATCCCTACGCGGTTCTTCACAGCCATGGTTCTACTTTGAGGTAATGTTAGCCCTTCTTTTGCACTGAGGGTGCAATTGTCCTGTCCCTGGCTAGGAAGGGTGCTACATAGCTCTATATATCTATCTATCTATCCATTCAGTCGTATCTGACCCTTGGTGATTGCATGGACCGTCACTCGTAAGCAACTTTTTCCATGAATTCCAATCATTTTTACAGGGTAGGTTGCCAGTTCTTTCCCCAACCCCTACCATGTAGGAAATTCCACATGGCCAGGGATGAAACTAGGACAATTTAGACAGGAGCCAATTAACCTACCAGCATGGCTTTGGAGTGTGGGAAGAAACTGGAGTACCTGGAGGAAACCCATGCGAACACAGGGAAGAACATGCAAACTCCATGCAGGAGGCGCCATGGTTGGGAATTGAACCCATGGCCCAATTACTGCAAGGCAGAAGTGCTAACCACTGTGGGGGGGGGGTGGAGGGGAGAGAGACTGAGAGAGAGAGAGAGAGAGTGAAGATGAGAGAGAGAGAGAGAGAGAGAGAGGAGAGAGAGAGAGAGAGAGAGAGAGAGAGAGAGAGATGGAGAGAGAGAGAGAGAGAGAGAGAGAGAGAGAGAGAGAGAGAGAGAGAGAGAGAGAGAGAGAGAGAGAGAGAGAGAGAGAGAGAGAGAGAGAGAGGAGAGAGAGAGAGAGATGAGTGGCACAGTGCATTAGTTTGCGCATTTTTTGTACTAGTGTTTAGGAATGTTTGCATTTTTTTCACCAGAAAAGCATTCTAAGGCTTAGATTGTAAGCTCCCAGGATCAGGCCCTCCTATCCCTCTTGTATTCAACTGTATTATTGCTGTATTGTCTCCTGTTATATTGTAAAGCGCTGAGCAAACTGTTGGCGCCATAAATCCTGTATAATAATAATATATAAATCCTGTATAATAATAATAATATATAAATCCTGTATAATAATATATATATATCTGGCTGATGTCTCTGGAAGCTGGAAACCAATGCTAGTCTGATGATACCCACTTGCCTGGGCACCCTGGTTCAGAAAGGCTGACCTAGATTAAACATTCAAAAGCCTTGCAACAAAACCTCCCCATCTGATCCAACTCCACCACAACCCCAACTATTGCAGAGTATACAAGGACCAGGGGCGGACTGACCATTTGGAAACTCAGGCACTGCCCGAGGGCCTGGGGTCAGTAGGGAGCCTCATGAGATGTTCCAGGTACCTTTTTCATAGGCCTTTTTGAGTTTGTGCAAGGACACAGGGGCCCCATATCCCCTATTGCCCGGGGGCCCCATGAGTTGTCAGTCCGCCCCTGACAAGGACAAATCAAATAATAGAGCTTACTTATCATCTGGAATATCTAACAATAGGTTATGGAATTTTTAAACATTGGAGTGAATAACAAACTGACTCTGACCTTGTTGCTGACCAGGAACTCCCAGTCAGACATATCATTGATTTGCATACCCCATCTTCTTCTCCTGCAAAACATCCTTCACGATGACCGAGACAGCACGCAGTACAAAGGAGAAGAATAGGTTGATGTGGATGTAATTCCGCGTACAGCGCAACTTCCTGGAGAAATGTCAGGAAATAATAGGATTGTAAGGGTTAGTAAATTCATGAGAGCTGTTTTTGAGATCATTTCCAATAGGACCCACCAACTCTGTGAAGGTATGATCAGGGAAAAGTAGAGACACTTACCTAAACATAGTGAGGATCGCCAAAGATAAAAGGAGGGCGAACAGAGACACTGAGTACCCAACAGTGTACAGTACTTTAAAACTGAATAACATGTCCTTTGTCACCTCCTAGGAAACAAAGTAACAAATTCACCAGATACTGTAACTAAAGACAAGTTTATATTTGACAGGTGCTCTTTAGTTATGTCGCAAAATAACAATTTAAAAATGTACTCAGGGAAGTCAGTAACATTTTGCAAACTTCAGGTGGATTTGAGTTTAGGAAGTCAGAATTTAATAATCCTCTGGCATTTCCGGCAGAATAATTACTGCATTCTAAATAGGCTGAAATATTCCCAAGATGCTTTCAAGCATTCAAATTTAAAATCAAATGAATACTAAACATAATGAATTTTGCATAACAAGATTTACTTGTCATAACAGACAAAACCAAGTGTGAGACATGTCTTTATTCCTGGCATGTGCTAATTGCTAATAGACATTTAAAACCTGCTTTAATGATAGAAATTGCTGCTTTATCTGAATTGTAAAGCTCTGTGGACACTGGCTTCCAGTGCTCTTGGAAGAAAAAAAAAACACAAAGTTTGAGCATTTTTTGTACTAGTGTTTAGGAATGTTTGCATTTTTTTCACCAGAAGAGCATTCTAAAGCTTAGATTGTAAGCTCCCAGAATCAGAGGGCCCTCCTAACCCTCTTGTATTGAACTGTATTGTTGCTGTATTGTCTCCCGTTATATTGTAAAGTGCTGAGCAAACTGTTGGCGCTATATAAATCCTGTAATAATATATATAAAATAATAATAATATATAAATCCTGTATAATAATAATATATATCCTGTATAATAATAATATATAAATCCTGTAATAATAATAATAATATATAAATCCTGTAATAATATATAAATATAATAATAATATATAAATCTGTAATAATAATAAATTCTGTATAATAATAATAAGGCTGCATGCACACTAGCATTTTTTTCTGCTCCTAGAAGCTAAATAGTGTTATCCTATAGGTCCATGCACACTGTTTTAGGCTAGTAGTGCTTTTCAAGCTTCAGTGTTTAGGAGCAGAAAAAATATATTTTTATAGAGTTTTTGGGAGTGTTTCCGGCAGAAAAAGACGCTAAATACTCCTAAATGCTACTAAATGCTGCTGAAAGGTTTCTAACAGCTTTTGTTCTACCATTTGTTTCCTACATGTACTGTAAAAAACACTAATAAAATGTTAACTCTCCGAAACGCTCCTAAACACTATTAAAACGCTACTAAAACTCTACTAAAAAATGCTATTACCAGTTATTCTTTTATCCAACATTTTTGCAGCATGTTCTGAGCTTTAAAAAAAACACTAATGTGCATGGAGCCCCAAAAAAGCAAAACAGAAGGGTTGTTTTTCTGCCTCAAAACCTTGAGCTTGAAAAAACGCCACTAGACTACCTAATGTGCATGGACACATAGGATAACATTAGCTGCTTCTACAGGCAAAACTTCTCTAGAAGCAGCATATTTTAAGACAGTATGAATGGAGCCTTAGTAATATTTTGGGCTAAAGTGAAACAAAAGTAAAGACTATTCTATCTATCTATCTATCTATCTATCTATCTATCTATCTATCTATCTATCTAATACAATTACAATTACAGTTTCCTTTTTCCCGAGTCAATTATATTTGGAGGTTATTATCTGATGCACTATTTATGTAAAACTTGCACTAGCTAAATTCCTGGGAAATCTCTTTCCTTGTTTTTCTTCTTTACCTCTTTTTCAGAAAATACTACTTTCCTGACTGTCAGGCTGATCTTCTGCCTTTAATATTGACCTCAAACAAGTCTTCTGCCTTCAACACTAACCTATAACAAGTCTGCAGAAAATTACTTCTGACTTTCCTGATCTGCATACTTCTTCCCAACATTTTGGGATGGAGGTCAGCAGTAGCAGCCACTATATTTTCCTTATGGCAGGTTTACTTTAAAACCTAAAATACGTATATACAAATCTTAAAATAATAAATAAATAAAATAGAGCAGTTAAATATATATATTGTGCTAAACAACAAATGTCAGTTAATTTGTGCAAAACAGAAAAATCTCTAAAAACAACTCTGCGAATTAAAGCAAGACTGAAGAGATCTCTATGGGGACTAATAGAGTTCTGGGCATGAAGTGGTTAATATTTACAATAAATCTTAGAAATGGCATCGCCTGCCATATAGAAATAGGTTAGTGGTACTTTGCTGCATTAACTATTCAGGATCTGCAGTCTATCCATCTATCCACCTATCAGGGGCAGACTGACAACTCATGGGGCCCCCCGGGCAATAGGGGATCATGGGGCCCCTGTGTCCTTGCCCAAACTCAAAAAAGCCTATGCAAAAAGGTATCGGGGCATCTCATGGGGCCCCCTACTGACCCCAGGCCCTCGGGCAGTGCCCGAGTTTCCAAATGGTCAATTCGCCCCTGCCACCTATCCATCCATCTATCGATCTATCCATCCATCTATCCACCAATAAAACAACTACAAGAACACAATACATTCACATAATTCATTTGAAATGTAAAAAAAATCACTCAAAATGAAGTCACCTTATTTCTTATCACCTCCATCTCATAATCGCATTGTGTTGAGTTCCTCCAAGGTTCGGTTCCATTGGTCATCTCCCACTGGCCATCTAGACCACAGCGTCTTGTTACCAGCCCATTCCTCACTGCCAAAACACACAACATTCCTTGGCTAAGTAAAATGCGTGTCCTAAAATACTGAACGCTGTCCCAGTGTATTGCTTTGTGATAAAAGGTCTCAAGAGTCACTTCTTGACTATATATTTGCTAGTCATTATAATGGGGTTCCAGCCATGGTTGTATTTAGACCAGGGCTTAAAATTTCAAGTCCTGAGCTACTAGCCAGGCCTTAAGAGTTACTCGCCACCAACAAACACACACAAACAGAGAAACCTATACACACACACACAGACATGTACATACACACACAGAAACACGCACAGAGACACATGTACACACACACACACAGACACACAGACATGTACATACACACACAGAAACATGCACAGAGACACATGTACACACACACACACACATACAGACACATGTATACACACACAGGCACGTACAGACACGCATACACACAGCTACATGTACATACACAGAAATACACACGCACAGACACATGTACATACACACAGACACATGTACATACATGCACAGACACTTGTACATACATACACAGACACATGTACACACAGACACATGTATGTACATACACACAAACAAACACACAGACACATGTACATGCACACACACACACACACACACACACACACACACACACACAGACACATGTACATGCACACACACACAGACACATGTACACACACACAGACACATGTACATACACACAGACACATGTACATGCATACACACACAAACACACACACATGTACACGTACACACACACACCACCTCCCCCCCATAAAAAGTTGCAGTACATCGTTGTTTACTCACAGAGCTGGGTACTGCACTCTAGGGGGAGGCAGAGAGCACAGTACACACTCCTTCCTTTGTTTTCACTGCGAGCAGTCTGACGGCACCCAGTGCCAATGACAGATCCAGCCTGAGCTCCGAGCCTGCTCAGCAAGACGGCCCTGGGGGACACACTCGCCCCCACCATAATTTCCACTCGCCATTGGCGAGCAAGCGAGTGGAAATTTCAAGCCCTGATTTAGACATCTTGATGCTTTACATGACAACATCCCTTTGCAAAGCTTTGAGCCTTGTATAATGTATAAAGTGTATTTATAGGCAGAACTTTTTTTTTTTGGTTAGCATTGGAAAAGGTTGGAATACCTTTTGGGTTTTACTTCTATTCAAGAGATTCCAAGCTTTCACCAGTCAGGAAGTGAGGGAAAATCTACACCAGGGGAAACAGACTATTGGCTGTTGGGAGAGTTTCTTTCAATTTCTGTCTTGTAAAAGAAAAGGTTGAATCCAAAGAACAAAGGTATACCGCTCAGGCAAACAATCCAGAACAATCCACAACAGGTGCAGGCTCTGGCTCGCCACCAAACACACTGTATTTATTGATCCATAGCACACACAAAACACCAGGACATGAATACAGGACCTGTTAACGCGTTTCACGCGATCTCATGCTTAATCATAACCTACATCTACCGAGATCTTGTGAAACGCGTTAACAGGTCCTGTATTCATGTCCTGGTGTTTTGTGTGTCCTATAGATCAATAAATACACAATATATTCATCTATCCTCCGGTGTGTGGCTAAACCTTCTTCCTATTGCAAAAGAAGAGGTTGCCCTAGAACAGGACTTGAGGGGAAATCTCTCTAATGGGGACTTGAACAGCAGTAAAATTTGACAGCGGTTCTAATCTGTCCTCACTTGATCCAAAACTAAAGAAAAAAAGTTTTGGCTATAGATACACTTTAATAAAGGTATTGTTAAAATATGCTATTGATGGCAGCAGGTTCTTCAATCAAGAGAAAGGAAAGATGGTTCCATGTTTCTAGAACTATAAAAAGCCTTGAGACGCTTCTCTACACTCCCTCAATCCCCTTCTCTCCTTAGTTGTCTAGATGAATGTAGCCACAATTGTTTGGAGGTGTCCAGAAAATGGAAACAAATTAAAAAGAAGCTTCACATTTTGAGACTTAGTGCTGCCCCCGCACTTTATTTTTTTTTATTTACCAATCTAACCTAAACATTTACTACCAACCCTAATTACCAATACCAAAATCCCCCCCACCATCCAAGTAACATGGCATCCGCTACAAATGGGAGTGATTTGAATTTCCAACTACTCAGGATTCATTAACCCAACTGATAAAGCTCCACTGTACCAGCCAAATTAAAAATGTACAATGCTTATTTTTTCAATATAGAAAACTTCCCCACCAATGTATTTACATATGTTTTGTGCTTGCAATGTTATATATTCATATATTCAATACAAATTTGAGAGAAAAGAAAATCCAACCCTAGCTATAGCTAATGTTGGCCTATGTCAGTAAGAAACATTAGCTGACTTTCCTATTCCCAGGCACCTCAAGCACTGAATGTATGTAAGGGTAAGGAGTGATGGGGTGTGCTGGAGGATCTATTTTTGCTGGGTGCTGGAGGATCTATGCAGCTGGGGTGTCTATTATTTCTTGGGAAGGATCTATTATTGCTGGAGGGGGTCAATTGTTGCTGGGAGGGATCTAATGTGGAGGCAGGGGTCGATTGTTGCTGGCTGCTGGGAGATATATTGTTGCTGGAGGGATTTATTGTTACTTGTGGGGGGATTGTATTTTGTTGTGTGGGGGTCTATTTTTGCTGGAGGATCTCTTATTACTGTGGGGTCTACATTTGCTTGTGGGGGATCTATTATTGCTGGGGGGGTCTACTGTGGAGGCAGGGGTCTATTGTTGCTGGCTGCTGTGAGATATATTGTTGCTGGGGGGATTTATTGTTACTTGTGGGGGGGTGGTATTTTGTTGTGTGGGGGTCTATTGTTGCTGGAGGATCTGTTATTGCTGTGGGGTCTACAGTTGCTTGTGGGGAATCTATTGTTGGTGTGAGGGATCTACTGTGGAGGCAGGGGTCTATTGTTGCTGGCTGCTGTGAGATATTTTGTTGCTGAGGGGATTTATTGTTACTTGTGGGGGGATGGTATTTTGTTGTGTGGGGGTCTAATTTTTCTGGAGGATCTATTATTGCTGTGGCATCTACAGTTGCTTGCGGGATCTATTGTTGCTGGGAGGGATCTACTGTGGAGGCAGGGGTCTGTTGTTGCTGGCTGCTGTGAGATATTTTGTTGCTGGGGGAGTTTATTGTTACTTGTGGGGGGATGGTATTTTGTTGTGTGGGGGTCTATTGTTGCTGGAGAATCTATTATTGCTGTGGGGTCTACAGTTGCTTGTGGGGGGTCTATTGTTGCTGGGAGGGATCTACTGTGGAGGCAGGGGTCTATTGTTGCTGGCTGCTGTGAGATATATTGTCGCTGGGGGGGTTTATTGTTACTTGTGGAGGGATGGTATTTTGTTGTGTGAGGGTCTATTGTTGCTGGAGAATCTATAATTGCAGTGGGGTCTGCAGTTGCTTGCAGCAGGGGATCGATTATATTGCTTTTTTATCAAGGCGGAGTACCTGCACCTGAAAAAAAAAGCCCTGCCCATCCCTATAACTCCACTTATTTCTTTGGTACATTTAAAGCTCACTGTTAACATAAAATTCCACTTTTAAAAACTATTTGTTGTAGGAAGATACCTTTCTGGAACCAAGGAAGATAATAGGGACAGGTTACACTTGTGATAGTCCCGGGTGTTCCGTCTGGCCAGCAGGCATACATGTCAAAAGTACGATTGCAGTGCAGCTCTATAAAACAAAAGACGGAGAAGCAAGTTGGGGTCAGGGGATTCTATACTGCAAATAAAATGAAGGGTGATCATTACAAGAAGACATTTTGCCATTAAGACTAGATCTCTCCCCTTGCAGATAAAGGGATGAGATGGGGATTTCTCTGACGGTGAATGACATGATGATTTGTGGCTATGAAGTGAGGACTGCTCAAATATAGACATGCGCAGCGGCAGACTGACAACTCATGGGGCCCCTGGGCAATAGGGGATCATGGGGCCCCTGTGTCCTTGTCCAAACTCAAAAAAGCCTATGAAAAAGGTACCAGGGGCATCTCATGGGGCCCCCTACTGACCCCGGGCCCTCGGGCAGTGCCCGAGTTTCCAAATGGTCAGTCCGCCCCTGGACATGCGCATTTCCTTTCATTACGAATTGATTTTCGGACTAAAGTTTAATTTTCGGATGTATAAAAATCTCCTAATGGACATAGTAACAAATGTCAGCGAATGAAAAAAAATTATAACGAAATTATTGTATACATTTGTTTCATGCAGATGATGGGGAAATTAATTCAATTTTGAACTCATTCAATAATTCATATTCAAGTAAACTTGTGATTTAAATTGAATTTGTAATTGTCACAGTCAGTCAATTCAGATGCAGAGTAGAATGCAATTCTTAGGTCTGTCGAATTTTGCATTATTTGATTCCGTTGTGTCTGATATCAAATCCTTCCAAATAGTTTTGATATGTGATAAAAAGGAATCCATCTGAAATATCAAACCTGAAAACTAATACATAGCAATTTTTAGAAGAATTTGCAGAATTTTTCAAATCCACCCGAACCAACAAATATATGAAACAAATACCAAAGATACAAAATTAAATCCGAAAAGTAGGGTTGTGCCGATACTAAGCATTTGCATGAGTATTGATACTCATGTAAATGCACTGATACTTAAACCGATACCTTGTCATTTGCATGCACTGAAGCTCGGCTCCTGTGTGTAGATGTGACAGGATCCTCTCCTGGTGGTGCCCATTCTGTACTGTCCTAATACAGCAGAGGAGAGGGCGGGGGGGACATGCACAGCTCCAGTGCAGCCAATGGCGGACTGACTGACAGTCCAGTCCGGACCATCAGCCAGCCATTCAGCTGCTGTGAATCCTCAGAAACCTGCAGTCATTAGTTGTTAGGAACCTGCCGGACTCTATGGAGTGAGTCTACAGGTATGGGGGGGCTCTGATGGGGGAATCTAATGTATGGGGGGGCTCTAATGGGGGATATGATGTAAGGGGGGCTCTGATGGGGGAATCTAATGTATGGGGGGCTCTGATGTAAGGGAGACTGTGATGGGGGAATTTAATGCAAGGGAGGCTCTGATGGGGGAATCTGATGTAAGGGGGGCTCTGATGGGGGAATATGATGTATGGGGGCTCTGATGTATGAGGGTTCTGATGGGGTAATCTGATGTATGGTGGCTCTTATTGGGGAATCTGATGTCTGGGGGGGCTCTGATGGGGGAATCTGATGTATGGGGCCTCTGATGGGGTAATCTGACATATGGGGGCTCTGATGGGGTAATCTGATGTATGGGAGGCTCTGATGAGGGAATCTGATGTATGGGGGCTCTGATAAGGGGCCCTGATGTATGATAGGGGAATCTGATGTATGGGGGGCTCTGATGGGGGAATCTGATATATTGGGCCTCTGAAGGGTAAATCTGATGTTTTGGGGGCTTTGATGGGGGAATCTGATGTATGGGGGGGCTCTGATGGGGGGATCTGATGTATGGGGGTTCTGATGGGGTAATCTGATGTATGGTGGCTCTGATTGGGGAATCTGATGTATGGCGGCTCTGATGGGGGGATTTGATGTATGGAGCCTTTGATGGGGTAATCTGACGTATGGGGGCTCTGATGGGGTAATCTGATGTATGGGAGGCTCTGATGGGGGAATCTGATGTATGGGGGGCTCTGATGGGTAAATCTGATGTATTGGGCCTCTGAAGGGTAAATCTGATGTTTTGGGGGCTCTGATGGGGGAATCTGATGTATAGGGTGGCTCTGTTGAGGGGATCGGAAGTAAGGGGGACTCTGATGGGGGGATCTGATGTATGGAGGCTCTCACATGCGACTCTTTTGCAGTACATTAATTTCTTATGGGCCCAAATCGCACTGCACTGCGCGAAAAATAGGTATCGGTAATTGGTATCAATGAGTACTTGATAAAAAAGTATCAGTACTCGTACTCGCCTTAAAAAACTTGTATCAGTGCGTTCCTACCAAAAACTAATCAAAATTCTTCAATGAATTAATGCATCAGTTACAAAATGAAAATTTCCAGTGTGCACATGACTACTCAATTGTGGAAGAATCTGGAACTCCCCTTTGAAATATGTGGGGTGTCGGAGAATGTGTGTATCAAAATTTAGGCTATCCACCTTGGGAGCAGGTCAATAAAAGAATGATTTTGGGTTCCACGAACATCAGGATGTTGCCTACTGATGAGGACGCAGTGGGCCTGATTGGGTTGGTATAAAGTACTGTATATCTAAAGCCAAATCTTTGGTTTTATTTTGTCTGGCGTATGAAATGATTTAAACCAGCCAGGTTATTTTTCTGCCAAAGACACAACAAGAAGGGGAGGCATTCTCTCGAAGGAAAGATAAACTCCATCTTAGACAGTTGTCTCCATAAGTGTCCCATGGCAAAATGCCCTTATTATTTCTGCTCCGGTGACAATTTAAAATGTTGGATTCCCCATCACTAACAATGGTCACCAGGACAAAGGGGTTCTAAACCTTTCCTTTACTTGTTAAAACTTAAAAAAACAGTATGGTCTTAAAATACCCTTTAAGGAGCCCCCTTCAATGTGAACAGTATGTGCAACCGGCAGCCCTTTAAATGGACTTGTATGTCTGGGAGGTGCCATGGCTTCTGTATCATGTGACCACTGTTATTGGCTCTCACTTGATTGGAAGCCTGTCTTGTTGACTCCCAATCAGAAGCTCTGACCAAGAGTTGTCAGTGACAGCTCGGTCAGTGTGCTAGGAGCATGCTCTCAGCAAACAACCTCCTGAAAACACATATATACAACGGCAAGGCGTTAAAGCCCATCTTTCGTGCCATGGCATTTATCCATTATGCAGTCAGCAAGAGATTAAACTCCAGGTTTTAAAAGCTGTGTCCCCTGTTGAGCTTTTTCTGTCAGATCTGAGAAATGCTATCTATATATTAAGCCATGTCCAACATTCAGAATAATTTAACTACAGCCGCTGGTCTTTGTCTCCCTAGGGTGTCCCACTTCCTCAAGTTCTAAAGTTGGGAGGTATGAGTGTTGGGAAGAGTTATGAGTGTGCTCTGAAGAGGCATTCTGCAGCAGTAAAGATTTATAAAGTCAAAAACACTCTCTACAAGTCACATTTTTTTTCATAAGGGGCACTGATTAAAGGTACTGATATTTGCAGCAGGCATGGCAAGGTTTCCCTAGCCACCTGGAACCTGCTCGTTACATATATAGCCGAGTTTACACAAAGTTCCATCACAAGAGAAGGACATCTGTAATTATCTTTCAAGGGGACACCACTACTGGCTGAGAAGTGAGTGCCACTTGTTCTTTCCCCACAATCATATCATTTTAAACACATGAAGCAATCCCGCAACACTGTGATATCCACTTTACCCACATAATGGCCAAAAGTCACTAAGCCCCTGTGTCTCCTGTGAGACAAGTTAATAAATAACTGTACCACTGCAAAGATAGCAATTGATACTTCCCTGACCTCCAATTCTGGGAAACTTTAAAATGATCTCTTGCAATGAGACTTTAGGACTTTTTCACACCAGTTGCCATGTGGGATTGCACTGCAAAAAACATGCTGCCTTTTGCTTTCTTGTTGGCACCCCCATATGTTTGCACCCACCAAAATGCAAAGTACCGCACGATTTAAAAAACCCTTTCTTCTGTCTCTTCAATCTAAGCACTGAAAGTGTGATCTCTGTAACTTACAGTTGTGATGAGATAGTAAAACTCCAACCTCAGTTGAATGACACAGCAAGTGACTCAATCCAGAAGACATCTTGTAGATCTTGTGAAGCTTATTCCATAAACTGAGAGAATCTTACAACAATGAACAACGGATAGGTCAAAAGATCATAATGTGTCCTGCTTCATGACATGAGGCTTGCTGCAATGCCTTACTGGGAAAAGGGGTGGGCTATCTATACAGCATTAACTAAACGAAAGGAAAGGGAGGAGCAGAGACAAAATATAGAAAACACTTAAAGGCATATGACAATCATGTGAAACATGACACCCTTCCTGCACCTTTTTACACATTTCATGTACATAGGTCATCCCATTGAAATTAAAGAGCTGCTCTAAAATGTGACACGTGGGAATGCGCAAAATAAGTGAACGCTTGGGCACAACTCCTGGTGTGAACAAGCCCTAAAGGTTAACTTGTTTTGTCTAGGTGAGAGGAGAAGTGCTTTTACTTGCCTGATCCTCCATGCTTCTGAGGTGGACTGTCCCCCTGCATCATCATGTCCAATGCATATGAACCCTGCATTTGTCTTATTGACATCAGGACCTTAGACCACTGGAGCATGAGGGAGAAGACACTACAAGGCCTGGTTGACCCAGAGGATCAGAGAATAGGGTAAGTAAATCTTCTTTCCTGTGTCAGCTAGACCTAAATGAGCAATTGACCCTTGCAGTGCATGTGTAGCCCCTCTGCAAGGGGTTTTTTAAAGTTTTCCAGAGTTGGACTTTAAAGACCCAAGCTTGCTGAAAAAAGTTGACACTTTTCGGAAGTGTTGAGGGCTGATGTTCTCCACTGTTGTCTGTGGTTTCCTCTGCCTACTTTAGATCACTGCAGGACACAGCATCAAGCAGGAGGAACCACATTATAGAGCCAGGGATCAGGCATCCAATAATTTAAGAAGTGTGCCAGATGCTAAAGATTTTTCAGCAAGCCTGCATCTTCAACCCAGGGGAGACTGCAAGACAGGAGGTGAGTACTAGTCGCTTTCTTTGTAGGGACATTATTTTTTTTTTTCAGAAGAGTCACTTCAAAGCATAATGTGGCCCTAAGCAAGGTAGCAGCCACCCCTATCCTTTTTTTTAATGTGGATTGCAAAAACCACAGAGAAGCTGCATAGTTTTATGACCAGTTGTGCTATTTCCCTGATTTACTGCAAAAGCTCCAGATCCTAGACTCCTGTTCTTCCTATGAACCCTACGACATATAATAACAAATGGTATGCATAGTATACACATGATGTTGCCTTTGAGAGTAAAATTCACTCCTTGACAGCTAATGGTAACTGATATTTTTTACTACTAGATAAGCCTATTTATACATCGAAAACTCAATACTGTAATGATAAAATCCATCAGGTCAAGGCTATAATGTCAGACAATTTCTGTATGTTTCATTGTGCAGTCACAGAAAAACAATCCACTGTGTCCCAAGTCTATTTTCTACTCAGTGACAAAAGATTTTCGAAAGAGTGATGTCAGCTAACCCAGAGGGTGTGGTGTGGTTGCCATCAATTGGTAGCAATCTTCTCTATATCGCATCCAATCTTCAACTGTTTTCTCCAGAACCTTTCCTTCAACACTCTGTACAGGAAAGAAAACACGGAGATACAAAATCAAAGCATTTTATGGGAAAAAAAAAAAAAAAGAAATCAAAGCATTGCCATTTCTCATATATTGGATATACTGTATTTTCCCTGATTGCATACTCCTGTTTTTGCCTCAAAGAATGACATGTTACAAGAACAGGGACCAGGTTTACTACTAGTTGCTATGGTAAACTACTGTATAAAGCCAAAAAATTGTAAACTCCTATCTGAGTTGTTGGACATTCCAAATGTTTCCATTCCAAAACCATGCTCTGTGCTATGGAGGTGGACCCTCCTTTGTGGCTATAGCAGCCTCCACTTTTCTTGGAAGACATTTCATAGGATTTTGGAGTGTGTCAGGAGAATTTGTGCCCATTCAGCCAAAAGAGCATTTGTAGATCAGGTACTGATGTGTGATAAGAAGACTTGGCTTGAAATTAGTGTTCCAATTCCTCCCGAAGATGTTCAGTACGTTGAGACCAGGACCTCTCGAGTTCCCCATTATCAAACTTATCAAACCACTTTATGGATCTGGCTTGATGCCCTGGGGCACAGTCATGCTGGAACACAAAGGTCCTTCAACAAAACTGTTGCTACAAGGTTGAAAGCACACAATTTACTAAAATGTCTTTGTATGTTGTAGAACTACCAGTGGCGTTCAATGGGAACTCAATCAATTGCGGGGCGTTATCCATGTTTTGGCCATATAGCATTGTGGTGGTCAGAAGTTGACAAAACATATATTTAATAACATCTTTTAAAGCAGAACTAAAGTCTGCAATACTTACCTCTCCTTGAGCGGTCCGAGGTCCCTTGCCGACATCTTCTACTGACATCTATTGAGTATCGGGCTGCAGTTGGCTTCATTGGCTGGCACAGGATGACATCAATTTAGTGTTTTCAGCACAGAGGATCTGTGTCAGAATGTAAACTGAGCTGCACATGCCTGTACATTCTAAAGAAGACTGCAAGCAGGCAGATTTATTTTATTGCAGAAGAGCTATTTCATGCCCCTTCTACAATAAAAAGATGCCTGCTCATGGTTGTATTTTGGAGACTTTAGTTCCACTTTAAAGAAGCTATATATTCATCTTTATGGTTCTGAATATGGTCAACCTTATGTAAATGATCCTATTAGAGTTCCCTGCTCTCCTCCTCCCATGACCGCCTCCAGGACTTCTCCAGGGTGTCACCCATCCTCTGGAACTCCCTGCCCCAACCCATCAGATTATCACCTCCTCTCCTCTCCTTTAGGCGCACCCTGAAAACCCATCTCCTCAGGGAAGCCTACCCCACCCCCTGCTAACTTGCCGACCTCCTCCACTCTTCCTACCACTCCATCCCCCACAGCTATCTCCTCCTGTACCACTATCCCCTCCCTCCTAGATTGTAAGCTCGAAAGAGCAGGGCCCTCAATCCCCTCATGTTTTGCATTGTATTGGTATTGTTCTGTCACATGTTCTGTCCCCCTTTGTAATGTACAGCGCTGAGCGAACTATTGGCGTTTTATAAATACTGTATAATAATAATAATAATTAGAGAATAAGGGGCTTTAGTCCCCCTATACTTTTCTGCTCAGTCCAGCATTTACGTTATAGATTATACTTACCTATATTATTATTATACATATCAATATTATCTCTGCATGGCCTACTATGCACTTTGAAGATTTTTTTCTCAAACTTTTCAGAGCTGTGTTGGTGCATGCATTCCACACTTTCCAAGCACTTCAATGGAAAGCATACCTTTCGCTCGAAGAAGTTTCTCATGTGACTCATCTGATAGATGAAGCAGGGTTGGTAACGCTCATTATCACCAAACAGAGGTACCCCTAAGTGTGTTATTCCATGTCCAATCATCACATGGGGTTATTGGGTTTGGCTGTTTATGGCCTGTCTATGCTAGATGCAGCATCAATATGTATGTACAGTATATACCTTATATCTACAATATGTGAACAGACAATGTTTTGATAAAACTAGCAACACAGATCATTCAATTTATTATTATGTAATGTTGATCCAATTTACATACATCCAAGTAAATCCCTCTATATCCCTTTTAATAATGCACATTGCAGAATAAGTCACTCTTAAGAGGAAGGTTAATAAATATAATTATGTAACACTGCTTATAATGGAGAAATAATTTCCTACACTACAGGACCCCATGAATAATTATTCAGTGAATATGATGAGCAATTGGACATAATGAAAAACATCTCTATTTAGATCTCCCTAATTACGTGATGTTATTCTAGTAGGGGCATGAGTGGATCCGATTGGAGCTCTGAAGATGGAAGGTTGCACATGGCACTAATCGAGTGCATTACCCTGCCTTGATTTTATAAAACCAATTATACTCTGATTACTGTTCATGTGACATCAATGCATTAAGAATAGGACTTTCAACATTGGGTTGTGGCACCTTAGAGTAGCGTTTCTCAAATTGTTTTCACTTATGGTACCCTTTAAAAATATGTAAAATCTCAAGGCACCCAGGGTGAATTATACCTTGTTTTTCCAGGACAAATTGGGCCTTCATTTGGTGGTAAATGTTAATGGATATCTAATTTTCTATTACCAAAGGAACATCGACTCAAAATACGAAAACAATATAATTTTTAAACTTTAGCTGTATTTTTTGGTACCTTTACCATGACCCACTGTGACAGACCCAACCAGGACAGGGGCTTTTGGAGGGGGCTGCAGGCTAGCCTTTTGCCTATTGACCATGGGCCTTGGCATCTGGGGGGCTCTATTCTTTGGGAGATGTGTGCTTGGGGAGACCTTTGGAGTAGTTTACTTCAGATTCAAGTCCATGTCTCCCTAAGACTCTGAGAACTGAAGGACCCAGATACAGATTTGTGATCTCTGTGCCCAAACCAGCATCGACTGCTTATTGACCCCTCCTAGACTCAGAGAATCAGAGCAGACGTTAATATAATCAGCTCAAAACAATCTAATGCTGAGTTCTCCTGCTGTAATCTTTTTATTAATGTGTTATGTCTTTACTGTTCTGTTTTTCTTCAATTGGTAATTGAGTTAATTGACTCACCTATTGTTTCTGTCCATTGGCTAATCCTCCTGGAGGTTCCTACATGATGGGATTAGTCTTGTGTCAATTTTACCTTGTTATCTAATTATTGTGGGATATTTATCCCAATGTGTAATACTTGTTTTTATTCATGTAGGGACTGCCCCTATTTCTGAAGTGTATAAAACCCTGTACTTATGTTCAGTTAAGTGATTCCTTGGTTTTTATCTCAACATCTTGTCTGTGAATGATGCTTGGGGTAAAGGGCTGGCATTAACTCTCGGTCTGCTGGAAGGGTTTTGGAGAACAAGGGGCACTGTTTGGCGTACGTACCCAGGCAGGGTGCCAGGTAGTCTGTCACACCCACCATCAAAAATAAATAAATTCTCCTACTCCTGATGGGGATACTACATACATTATATTGCCAAAAGTATTGGGACACCCCTCCAAATCATTGGATTCAGGTGGTCCAATCACCTCCATGGCCACATGTGTATAAAATCAAGCACCTAGGCATGCAGACTGCTTCTACAAACATTTGTGAAAGATTGGGTCGCTCTCAGGAGCTCAGTGAATTCAAGCGTGGTACCGTGATAGGTTGTCACCTGTGCAATAAGTTAGATTAATAACATATTAGCACAACAACAGTGTGTAGAGAGCTTCATGGAATGGGTTTCCATGGCCGAGCAGCTGCATCCAAGCCTTACATTAAGTGCAATGCAAAACATCAGATGCAGTGGTGTAAAGCATGCTGCCACTGGACTCTAGAGTAGTGGAGACGTTCTCTGGAGTGACAAAGCACACTTCTCTGTCTGGCAATCCCATGGGTTTTCATGGTTTCCAGGACAACGGTACCTGCCTGACTGCATTGTGCCAAGTGTAAAGATTGGTGGAGGGGAGATTATGGTGTGGGTTTGTTTTTTAGGGGTTGGGCTTGGCCCCTTAGTTCCAGTCAAGGAAACTCTTAAGACATCAGCATACCAAGATATTTTGGACAATTTCATGCTCCCAACTTTGTGGGAACAGTTTGGGGATGCCCCCTTCCTCTTCCAACATAACTGCGTAAAAGTGCACAAAGCAAGGTCCATAAAGACATGGAGGAGCCAGTTTGGGGTGGAGAAACTTGACTGGCCTGCACAGAGCCCTGACCTCAACTAGACAGGACACTTTTGAGATAATTTAGAGACTGTGAGCCAGACCTTCTCATCCAACATCAGTGCCTGACCTCACAAATGCGCTTCTGGAGAATGGTCAAACCTTCCCATAGGCACACTTCTAAACCTTGTGGACAGCCTTCCCAGAAGAGTTGAAGCTGTCATAGCTGCAAAAGGTGGGCCAACTCAATATTGAACCCTATGGACTAAGACTGGGATGCCATTAAAGTTCGTGTGCGTGTAAAGGCAGGCGGCCCAATACTTTTGGCAATATAGTGTATGTACATTATATGTTGTTTGTACCCTTGGTACATTGACTCCTTTGCTATCACAGACAATAAAATATCTATTTTATCTTTATTTTTGTTTCAACAGACTTTTTTGTGTTTACACAGATCACCTCTAGTGAGGAGGAAAAGCTTTGATGTATCTTTTGATGTATCTTTTGCTCTTCACAGATGAATGACAGTTCAGGGGGTGAGTTTTAACTCTAATGATTACTGTGATTGGCTATCACGGTGATCATGTGATTGGGAACTAGTAAAACTGGTTCCTGATCATTACACTTAAGCCAGGCGTTCTGTCTCCGTGCTTGGGGCACACAAAGGACCATATTCCCAGCCCAAACACATATGCAGCACAACAAAAAAAAAGCACAATTCCTTGGCGCCTCATGTATGTATTATGCTGTCATTGGGGTGTGATTTTTTTTACAGCACCCCTGTCAAACCCAGACAGCACTCAGGCCTGGCAGGCTGACAAGATCTGCTTTCCATAGAAAATGGAAAAAGAGATTTCACTGCTT